GCTGATTTTTTGATTTATTATAGAGATGAGGTCTCACTGCCCAGACGGGTCTCGAACCCGTGGGCTCAGGCAATTCATTCACCTCAGCCTCTCAAAGGTGCGGGATTACAGGCTGAGCCACCGAGCCCGGCTAATTTTTTTTTTAATTGGAGTCTCACTCTTGTCGCCCAGGCTGGAGTGCAGCAGCATGCTCACAGCCACCGCAGACTCCACCTGCTAGACTTAGGTGATCCTTCCGCCTCAGCCTTCCAAGTAGCTGGAACTACAGATGCACGTCACCACGTCCAGCTAGTTTTTGTGATTTATTGTAGAGACGAGGTCTCACCAAGTTGCCCAGGCTGGTCTTGAACCTACAGGATTAGGCAATCCTCTCGCCTCGTCCTCCCGCGCCTAGCCAGGAATAAATTTAATAAAAGACGTGCAAGACTTGTACACTGGAACTACAAAGCCCAATGAAAAGAAATTAAAGAAAAGCTAAATAAATGGAACGATACCCTGTGTTCATGGATTGGAAGACAATATTGTTATGATGACAATACTCTACAAATTGATCTACAAATTCAACACAATCTCTCTCAAAATCCCAGCTGGCTTTTTTTTTGCATAGCAAGCTGATCCTAAAATTCATATGGAAATGCAAAGGGCCCAGAATAGCCCAAAAAATCTTGAAAAAGAACAAAATTGGAGAACTAACACTTCTTGATTTCAAAACTTGCTACAAAGCTACAGACTGCGTGGTTCTGAAAGTGGATAGACATGTGATCGATGGAATGGAACTGAGAGTCCAGAAATAAACCCTACATTTATGGGCAACCGATTTTGAACAAGAGTGCCCAAATGAAATTGGGCTGGGCACGGTGACTCATGTCTGTAATCCGAGCAATTTGGGATGCTGAGGTGGAAGGACTGCTTGAGCCCAGGAGTTTAAGACAAGCTTGGGGCAACATAGTGAGACCTCATTTCTAAAAATAAAAAAAAAATTATCCAGGTGTGGTGGCACATACCTATAGTCCCAGCTACTTGGGAGGCTGAGATGAGAGGATCCCTGAGCCCAGGAGGCCATGGCTGCAATGAGAGTGATTATGCCACTACTCCAGCCTGGGCAACAGAGTGAGACCCACCCTGAC